GCCCCAAAGTATTTCTGTCCCTTGAAACTGAAAAAGTGTCTACTATCCACCATCAAAAATAAARTGATATCCTCATCAGCTGGTGAAGATGTGGGTAAACTGAGGTTGTGTTCCAGTATTTGTTGGCCCACTGTGTTCCATATGCACCAAAAAGCATATTTACATTAGCTGTTGTAAAAGTCACTGTGTTTGTTTTCAGTTACGTCTGTATGAGTTTGTACAGTAAGGACACAAGGAGTACCTGTAGGTTATTTTAGCAACACAAACAGGACATCATTTCAAACAACAAAAAATACTTTATGTACATGTTTTGGTAATATATGTAATGAATAAAAAATGTTGACACATTTTTGTTTGGAGGAAAATAAAGAAGTTTAACAAACAAACACAAAATTAACTTATATACGGTAGTTGTAATAAAGTTTAACATAAAAAAGAAAACCTGGTTTAAAAAACTTAAATTGATTATATAATAACTTRTCATGGTTAAATTTAGCAATACTGTGGTTTAATCAGGGAAGTTGAAGAGTTGAATCTGTCTTAAGGGCTAAAATTCTYAGTGGTTTGTGGTTTTTGAATAAAACATATTTTATTATTAAGTCACAAAAACTATTGTCTACAACAAAATCTATTTAATAAATTATTTTTCACACACAGCTGTCCTGGGGAAGACTGACAGAGGCAGGGCTGCCGTGTACCCAGAAACACAACGAATGAGATGGATGGAACAGAGGGTCGAACAGGACGACTCCCATAACCACTCTGCTACAGCCAACCCATCTTTTTATACTTTCCTACATTTTTTTACACTTGACAAATAACTTTGGGAGAAATCAGGGTTTTCAAAAGTTTCAGTAGTAGACTGTTTTGAAAATGGAGGRGGCTGACTATCTACAGGGTTTCAAGAGGTGTCTGATGGCCCTCCCCCAGAAAAGATGTAAAGTTTCGAACATTTTTTCAAACATTTTTCTAGTGTTTGAATAAGGCTGGAGAGTGTTTTAAGTTCAGAAATCAGCAGTTTTAGAGGACAAATTTGTGAGAATTTTAAATTTTGTGTTAAAGAGTATTGAGCTATTCTTTGTGAGAATACGTATATCATTTAACAAACGTCTTTAACAATTTGCCGTTTCAAAAAGAAAAAATAAGTAGGTCCTCTGGATGGGTTTTTCTTTAGTGAAACGTTTCGTCTCTCTTCCAAGAGACTTCTTCAGTCTGATGAGTTTCAGGTGAAACAGCCTTATAAGCACTGCCTCTACATGGACAAACAAGTTRGTCACATGCAAAAGAGGGCCATCGCCTAACAATAGGCTTGATTGGCTCAATTGTTCATAGAGGGTCATGTGCCCCATCACCTGACCCGTGTTGTGTTATGTGTATGTAGTGAGTGCAAGCGGGGTTCAACGTCCCCTTGTTTTTGTCTCTCTAATGTGATGGGGCACATGACCCTCTATGAACAATTGAGCCAATCAAGCCTATTGTTAGGCGATGGCCCTCTTTTGCATGTGACTAACTTGTTTGTCCATGTGGAGGCAGTGCTTATAAGGCTGAGTTCACCTGAAACTCATCAGACTGAAGAAGTCTCTTGGAGAAGAGACAAAACATTTCACTAAAGAAGAACCCATCCAGAGGACCTACTTATTTTTTCTACCTGGATTACTGAAATGCATCAGGACAATTTGCCGTTTCATTTTTAATTGTTCCATCTAAAGCAGCCGTTTAAAATCATCAAAAAAACCAAAACAATGTTTTTAAAACCAGTTTGACTTTTTTTTTTCAATGCACTCCACAAAACATTTTTTGTTATGGCTTTTTAATACTTAGCTGGATATGTACTACGAAAAAATGGTTGGTGTTGGACTTTAAGTCCAACAGCAACTGAAAAGAAGAAACAACTTTTGCTTTACATTAGCATTAATCCTGAATTGTACCATGGTGGATAGCGATATACTTAATAGAGAAAAAGAGAAAGATTAGGTGGGGGTGGGCCACCCTCCTTGTACAACGAGAGGGGAAACACTGTCACATGACAATGTGATTTACTGTATTAGTGGTGGCTGTAATCAGACTAGGCCAGCGTCTGGACTTACAAAACTGTACAACAATAAGGATAATATTAACCAAAACATTATTATATGAGAGTGTATAAAAGCTACCTAATGCTAAAATGCTAGAAAGCTGAAAAATGGGAAAACATTTCTCTTTTCACAAGTAAATTGATTTCATTTTATTTACCTCAATATGGATGTAATCTGACCAGAATTGAAGATAATAATGTAGCAGTTTATAAGCCAATGTAATCACTATTAATTAATAAATTGGCTAATAGATTTTAGTTTCTGTAGCATATTAATATACTAATATACTATGCTGAATCATGCTACTATTTAGGACAAAATATGAAATACACTGCCTGGCCAAAAACAAAATGGCCTCCTGGATTTAACCAAGCAAATAGGTACGAGCCTCCTATTGGATAATTACTGCATGGGTGATTATCTTTCAACTGGCAACAAGTTATTAACTCCAACTGGTGCTACGTGTTGCTTCTCATGTGAAAAGACACGTCCTGCTGTCGTGGAAAAGATGTCAGTCTGTTTGAGAAGGGTCAAATCATTGGCATCAAGCAGAGAAAACATCTAAGGAGATTAAAGAAACTACTAGAATTGGGTTAAGAAAAACTGGAAGGATAGTGGGGATCCATTGTTTTTGAGGAAGAAATGTGGCCAGAAAAAAATCCTGAATGATTGTGATCAGCGATCGCTTAAACGTTTGGTGAAGTCAGTTTAAAGAAAACCAACAGCAGAACTCCTGGCTGTGTTTAATATTGAAAGTAAGAGCAATTCCACACGCACCATGCGAAGTGAACTCAAGGGATTGGGACTGAACAGCTGCGTAGCCTTAAGAAAACCACTAATCACAGACAAACCAAAAAAAAAAAGGTTCGATCTGCTCAGGAGCATAAAGATTGTACTCAGGGGCAATGGATGAAGGTCATGTGGTCTGATGAGTCCAGATCAACCCAGTTCTAGAGTGATGGGTGCATCAAGAAGAGAGGCAGGTGAAGTGATGCTCCTATCATGCCTAGTGATGCTCCTATCATGCCTAGTGCCTACTGTACAGCCTGTGGGGGCAGTGCTATGATGTGGAGTTGCTGCATTTGGTCAGGTCCAGGTTCAGCAAAAGTCTGTACTCAAAGAATGAGGTCAGCTGACTACCTGAATTTACTGAATGACCAGGTTATTCCATCAATGGATTGTGTTTTCCCTGATGGCACGTCCATATTCCAAGATGACAATGCCAGGATTCATGGTTGGGGTTGTTAGAGTGGTTCAGGGAGCATGAGACATCATTTTCACACATGGATTGGCTCCACAGAGTCCATTGAGAATCTTTGGGATGTGCTGGAGAAGGTCAGACTCCACTATCAATGTAAGATCTTGGTGAAAAATTAATGCAACACTGGATGAAAATCACACACAGTGAATGCGTTACGTAATCAAAGCTGAAGGCGGTCCAACAGAGTGTGTGTCCTCTTTGTTTTGGCCAGGCAGTGTATTAYAAGCTAGTTTTGCCTTCGCTTTATGTAACATTTAGAATGTAAAAGAATATACGTATATATTTGACTATTTTTAGGTTCCCATTAGACAAACCTGAATACTGAGAAGATGGTTGGCCAATATCAATAGAAACAAGTTTCATCCTAAAGTATCACCAGGTATGAAGTTTCAACTGGTGAATATTATTTACGACAGAAAGAAAATTATGAATATACGTTAACACTAGACAAAGTCATAATTATTCACATAGCTTAAGTCTTAAGTTACTGACTGACTTCGGATGGTACAACAGACTCRACATTATTCAGTTTAAAATAATTATTGAATGAAAGTAACAATAATTATATTTAATTATTGCAAAAAGGCTATAAATAATTTGTGACAGATCCAGTTGTTGCCCTGTTTGGTTGCCATCTTTGCTCCTCCATATTGTCACAGATGGTAGCAGTGGACTGGAGAGCAGCTCCCTCTAGTGATTTTAACTCAGTGGTGTAGAAAACATGACTTAGGCTCTATTATTGATTTTATTTTTGTTTTAATGGTCACAACACGTCATAAAGATCACTTATCTAACAAAAACTCAGATTTTGTTTCAGCTGTGCAGACAAAACTGCTTTTGTATGATCTGTCATTACCATTTATGAAGGTTTTAATCCTAATTAACTGAATGAAAAGCAAGTAAACAGTTTGCAAATCATGCAATTTGAGTTTAAGTATTTTTTCCCGCTAAACACAGGCTTACTTACAATTTGTTACTTTAAAGTCAATGGATAATGGGCAATTATCTACAGTAATAATGTGAACTTTTGAATGTGAAAACTGTTTAACCTACATCAAAAAATAAAACTTGACTTGTAAATAAATAAAAATACGTCACATATGATGAAAACTAGATATTTCAAATGTCATTTATTGGGACCTTTAACTAGAAGTGTGTTGATCAGTCCAACAAGGCAACTCAACCATATGATATAATGTCCCAGTTATTCTATGGTAAAAATCTCCACTATGTTTTTAAAGAAAGCTAACAGGTGTAACATAGTATTTTATTAACTGAATCTGTGTAGGCAGCAAAGTGAGATTGTGGAGCTGTGACATGCTAAAGGGAAAGTGAACCTATGTTAAAAACAAACAAAACAACAACAAAAACACAGTGCTTTAGCATCTATTGCTATAGTGTGCGCTCTATCTTTTTCACATGYATGAGCTTGTAATGAAGGTTGTCCTTAAGGCTGCTCCTCATGCCCTTACTTTGCACCTGTTGTGTGGTGAAACAATYCATAAGATGGCATCACAGAAATACTGCCAACGAACACAGAGCTGCTTAGAGAAGCAGTTTGTTTGAGATCAAAGGCAATACCTCTGGAGGCAGGAAACCCCAACCATCCCATACAGATGAGAAGAGAAGAAAAAATACAAGCTACAAACAAACTGAAATGTTACCTTGACCACTCAGGTTTGTGTAGTCCCATGTATCTTGGTCATTCTTAAAGACATTAAGGCGTGCAGGCTTTAGGAAAGAAACACATTACATTACATATTATTAGGGAAAAAATGTCACAGTTCGACTGAGCTCAATTGAACTATTCTTCTGTTACAAATGGTAGCTCGACACTGCATGGTTACACTCACCTTGGCATATTCAATCTTTAGAGAACAACAGCCAGAATAGATGTCTGCTCCATTCAAAGAGGCTTTTGCTCTCTGAGCACTTTGAACTGAATCAAATGTAGCACCAAAAAGTTAGGGTCTAATATGAGTTTATCTGAGGGTTCAAGTAAAATTAGTTTATGTTATTCAGTCATATGATACAGAGAAAAAAAAAACGGAAAAGGATATTCAACCATTGCCTGGACACCATTCTTTCTGAAGATGACAATCCTCTGTACAGGACCACAGTTGTTACAAATGGTGTAGAGCACATCCTGGATGACAAAGAGAAAGATTTGTAAAGTTTCCTTGTTAAGSATCACCTTTGAACTTGAATGAAACTTAAATGTGCTGCCTAACACTTTGTCAGTTTGTTGACTTTCACAATTTCCATTTTTTTAAATTTAAATTATAGGGGGAAGAATTCCACAACAATCAGAATTAATATAAGACAGATACACACACAATTTAGTTAAAAGTTAAAAGACTGGCATGTCAAACACTACAGGCATGTAGACCGAAAAGACAGCACAAACATTAAAAACATTAAAACTATGAGCTAAAACAAGATCTAAAGTATGATCACATTCTTGTGTTGTATCAGACAAACTGAACAAAATTAAAAGAATCAATACTATAAAAAAGTCTTTAATCAACAGTTTGTCAGGGCACACATGAATATTAAATCTCCAACTAGCAAAACTCTGTCATATTTAGGCAGGATCGTTAACAAAAAATCAGCCAAGTCAGTAAGAAATTCCTTGTTGTATTAAGGAGTTCTGTATAAAACAGCACCGGCTAAGATCCAAACTCAAATACAGTGGTTTGCAAAAGTATTCATACCCCTTGAACTTTTCCATATTTTGTCACATTACAACCACAAACATAAATATATTTCACTGGAAT